TATCGTGTTATGGGGGGTAACGGGCTGTAAAGCTGTCTCGGTCATAAAGAGCGATCGCAGAGTGCCGAGTCAAACCAGGATGCCGAGCTCTCCAAGCCATACGCAGCCCTCGTTATCATCAGAACAGCTCCGTCACATACTTAACCTTTCCAGACCAGCCTTTCTGCATTATTTTCCAAATGACCTTTAGCGTTACTTATTTCATTTCCGATAATGGCACACTAAATTTAGTTAAATGTATCAGAGCAGAATGTGTTTATTTTGGTGAAGGGGACTACACTGACTGACAAGGACCATGTTCCCAGACACAAACTCTTAAGTGTCCGAGGCAGTAAACATTAATACATCTTCCAGATTGGGGTAAATACAGGGCCCCGTGTCTGATGAGCACGAATAAATTAAATGGATCAAAACAAGTTAAAAAAAGACCATATCTGTATAGGTAAGGAGTACATACACTACCAATATAAATATATGGTTCCCATTTCATCTATACAGAAGTTCAGGGATGCACTAATCGTGACCCAGGGTACAACCCCTGGGTCACAATTAGTTCGGCAATTTTTAGGCCATGACAGGTTCACACTTAATTTCTATATTTTGTCATTTTAGAAGTCTGCAACGGCATATTTACAGGCATCTGAAGGTTAATAAAAGTACTAATGAAATATGCAAACACAAAAGGCTTATTGAATCTGGATCGTCAGAAGAAAATATTCAGTGTTTACATCTGTTGTGTGTTAATGAATTCAGAATTCCTGCTTCCAGTTCCTGCCAACACATGGTGCATGCTCTTGGTCACACCAGGCTTAATCATTTAGGACATTATGAGCTTTCAAAAGGTCTAACTCTAACATAAATACGTAGATACCCTAAAGCTGTTGTATCACAGACACAATCCCTCCGCCTGTAAGGAGCAGTGTGTTTCACGCCCTTGCTCTATGAGCGGAGGGGGTGGGGTGGAGGGATCTTAGCAAAATCGCTAATGTACGTGATGATTAAGTGTAACTCAAATACCGAGTGTGTTGTTCGTAGGCCTGACAGGCAGTAATTTGGTGTATTATATTCTGCGGTTTTAATTGCACGCCACCAACGTGTCCCTCTGACACGTTATGAAGCGATGATGTACAATTATTTCGGGGCGGCGGGAGATCAGTGGAGTGACATTATAATCATCCTCATAGGGATCCCTCTCTTCATCTGCAACAACCATTAATGTTTAAATGGGAGGAAAAAAAACATAAAAATAGTTCTCAGAGAGTTCTAACCAGAATCTGTTTGAGGATTATAGAGAATCACGTCAGGGGAGAAGGAGAGGGGTGTGGATAGACAATAGAGGGGCTGAGTTAAGTGACGGCTTTCTCTGGATAAGCAGCAAGCTAAGATGCTCCTCCACTGTCACTGCCAGGCCTCACACTACTCATACAGGCCCGGGCATTAAGGCACATTACAGCGGATGAGCCACGCAGGGCGGAACTGATGGGCTATTCTGGGAACAGACCAGACAATCTCACAAGACAGGGGGGACATAAAAACCCTGACATGAGCCAGCCCCATCCTGTTAACAGTCAAATCACACACGCAACACCCAACATGAAATCATGACTATATATACTCTCTCCAACACTAAGTCAAGAAAACTGAGACAAGGAAGGGAGGGAGGGAAAAACACAATGCAGCCTCCTCCACAGAGAAGACAAACTTTAGCACGACACAAACTTTTTGTGTTGTGAGAAAGCAATGGTTTTTAAGTTCAAATTCCTGAAGTGACACAACGAAATGGGCAGCTTATGACCCATAATCATAAAACGGCCGTCCACAAGAGGACAATCCATGTCCATGATAGTGTTAATACTTCTAAGGCCCGGGCTGAGATATTAAACCAATGCCTCAAAGCATTTACACTGTTTATGCATAATTTAACACCTACAACAGCACTGGATGTCCATTGCATCTTTGGGGAGGACGAGAGAGCAGGAGGGTGGAAATGCTGAATCCAGGGCCTTTCTGTGAGATGATGGAGGAGAGGAGGAGGAGGCTCATTAAGTGGCCGAGCCCCACTGTGGACAAAACACGCCGGGAGGAAACGCAAGAATCTGCCGTCTCACACACTGGAGGATTTTTATTTTAACCAATTAAATATGAGAAATCTTATCTTGCACGCTAACAGCCAATTTGTGTTTTTCTGCTGCTTTTGCACGTTAAGAGTTCTTTATAGGAAAATTAAGACAGATCAGTCTGTTTTGAAATAAAGACACAGAGGCAAATAGATTGGTAGAAGCATGGACAAACAGACGTCTTGCAGGAAGTAGGAGAAACAGCGAGGCAGAGACAGAAAGCCTATAAGGTGCTTGCAATGATGAGCGAGCCGCTGACCAGCCCACTCAGGTCTGACTGGCAGCATGGTCAAGGGTTCCAATCTGTCCTGGCCTTGCATTTGCATTTGTTAATTAAATGCCACAACAATATGATCTTAACTATCAACAAGTTCCCCCGCTCCTGAGAAGAGACCAGCGGCAGTGAGCTGAAGCCAAAGTGAGGTGGACAGCCGAGGTGCAGCACATCCATTCGCTCACAGTGTCAGAGCCGAGGTAATCTTCTAAGTCTGAAAGTTTAACAAGGGAAACACGGCAATCGATGGCGGCGGGGGGAAGATTTGGGGTTTTTTTTAAGGGAAGGAAAAGAAAAAGAAAAAACACACAAACAATGCGATGAGGCTCCAGACAAAACCGCAGTGAGCCAAACCAACAATCCATGCCCCATGGAGGCCCACGAGTCTGTAAGCATGAAATGAATTAATGAAACCCAAATTTTATATTGTAAAAAAGCAGCACAAACGTAGTCCTGCGTTAACTGGAATGATTAATGGTGATTATAAACAAATATCCGGCAAAACTTTTTTTGGTTAGGCAAAAATGTTGGCCCATCATTAGTATCCGCAGGACAATGCAGAACCTAATCGCACTATAATCTCACTTTACACATTATACCTGAAACATGGCCATCCATTAGTAATGTGCTTTAGATTCGGGTTAAGGACATATCATCAGACGTGAAAAGTTTGGGAAGGGGAGCAGGCTATGTGTATGTATGGCTCTGGTCTTAATGAGGGTGTTTCTGGGGGTTTCTTTGTGTTTGCTGCTCTTTAGTCAAGAGGAGGGATGGCCCGGTGATCAGTCAGTACTGAAAGCACACACAGGGCCGATTTGTCAGCAGCGGCTGGCACTGGCAGCACACAGCTCTTCCATCCGTATGATTTGTGAAACCAGGGGCTGTATTTAGTAGTCCCATTTAAAAGGCATATTGGAGAACCGTTCGTATGCATGTGTATGTGTGTGAGCGCATATGTAAAGCTAGACGCTTGGTCAAAGCCCAACACATTCGCAGCACTTGGGAGAAGAGGGTTTTCAGCTGGAGGGCTTGTGAAACATGAGCCTTTCCCCTCATTAAAGGAGAAGCTGTGTTTAAACCAAAGCTTGTTTGCTCCTGCTGTAATATGTTTGCGAACATCAGCGGGAGCAAATAAACACATTCGCTCTGCTCGGCTTTAGAAGAACAAAATCGGCCTGCGACTGAACTAAATGGAACGGTTTACAGAGAATTACACAGAGGGAGAAACTAATAACTCTACATATGTCTTCATCTTAGCGAGTGTGTAGCCGCAGAAGCTCGATGGCACAAAGCTGGAAATCCCACAATTTACTCTATTCCCCGACTGCATGTTAAACAGCTTAACACGTCCATTTGAACATGGCAAGGCAGTGAGGAGGTCTACCACGGGAATGAAGCGGGCTGAACACAACATATGGTCTACATGTAGGGGGTACAAGGTAGTGGGGTAATAACTGTACTCTTGCACTACTGGGTATTTATAGGCTTGTGGTTACCTACATAAACTTCCAATTAGGATTATTTGTACAGCTGAAACAAAAAAGAAGGTAAAATAAACTACATTTCTTTAAGCTTTAATTGATGAGGAAAGCTGACTACGAGCAATACATTTGACTTTTTGAGAAAAGCCTGAGAGCAGTTAAAGGCTTTTTTACACATCGAGGTGAAACTATGACTAAAATTTCTGGATAGGTTTTGGACTGCGGCCAGCTTTTGTCAATATCAAATGCCTTTAAATTGATAATTTTCTTGCCTAAATAAATAATGTCCTATGTATTGAGAGTTTCAATCGGAATATTCAATGTTCCAAAACCTTTCAAGTTTGACATTACAGTACGTGGTGAAAAGAAATACCACGTACATCGATGTGAGCTCACCCTTTTGAAGTAGAATTTAAACTCAGCGAAGGAAACAGACATCCTTGCAAATGATTTTCTTTGGATTAGCAGCTCATTTAGGCAGCGTAAAGATGATTTTAATGTTCTTTTTACAGATTGAAATCTCACAGTTTTTGAAAAGGGTTAAATTGGATTAAATTATGAAATAGCTTGAGACAAATGCAATTTAAAGTGGGCCGTACAATAGATTCACGCCTTAGACACCAACATGAAACTCTCCTGCACCTGATGGGAGGCACACAACCATTTGCTGGCTCACACTGGTGGTTTGCTTCTCGATTTCAACTCTCTTCTAGAAACTGTGCTAAATTCCTCTTAAGATATCCCTGTACCCACATAAATATGAGACACTTATAGAGGCAGCAGGTCATGTTATTATCCAAATGCTAATTTATTGGTCCCAAACTTACCTGATCAGGCTGAACACATTTTTTAAATGGCTGTTTCTAGCCATATTACTAGTTACAATGTCAGTTTAACACTACCGTACACACACTTAAATGCTTCAGTAGGAGTACACTAGTTAGTAAATGATGGAAAAGTACCAGACTTTCAGTTTTAATGTTCAGTTTTCTAATGATTTGACCCCCCCTCTGTCACCAACCTTACTTAAGTTGTAACAAAGCAGGGGTTTTGTTCCACTCTTTGCCAACGTCCTATCTTTGCTTTGAATAAAAGGCTTTTCAATCCTTTTAAAAAGATGGAACTCACCCACAAATGTCGCATTTGTACTCTCTCATGCCGAGGTGTCTCTTCACGTGGTTCCTGGCGTCTCCCAGCTGAGCAGTTGCAAAGTTGCAGATCTTACACGTGAAGGGCTTGGATCCTGTAAAACAAAGCATAGGAGAGTTCATATCCAACAATAATATTATGTTTGAAAGAAAGAAGGAGGTGGCAAGTTTAATAAAACATGACTGAATAACCTCTGAGAAGAAATCTGATTTTACATCACAGATCATTTTTCAATGCCAGGCATGTACGACTGTTATTAGTTCTGTGCTAGGACTTCAACCTACTTCACAACCACAAAATGACTTCAGAATTATAAAAACACATGCCTTTACTACAATCCCCATAAAAACTACAGTCACACTCCAAGTGCCAGGCGTCTCTTCTTTCACTCTCTATCTATCCTTGTCACTCTCCTTCATCTCTTACCTACTCTTCCTTTGCCTGTGGATGCGTAAATTGGATTCCAAAGGTCAGGGCGAATACGTAAATCAATTCTGTGTGCGCTCACTACCTCCCATTCCATCATTAAAGCGCTAATCACTCTGGCGGGCTTCGCAGGGAGGTTTCTCCCTAATTATTGTCATTAATAAGTCCAGGGGGGCGGGGTAGCGTTTGAAAGAGTGGCAGAGCCTCTGCCTGCAATCCGTCATTTAAGAGCAGAGCTGCGAGGGCTGATGCCACCGCACAAACATCTACTGGCTTGAGCTAAAAGAGGGAACTGGGTCCTTTAAAGCTGGGACTATAAATCTGGTTATGTTAGACAAAATCAGTAACTCATGTGCTACACCAAATTCTAAATTCAACCAAATATTTTGTTACACTTGTTCACAACATTTAAACATATATTTGGTGGAATAAAATGGATATTTTGTTTGGCGGGTTGAGCCACATTCAGGCCAGCATAAAGTGTGACACTGCAATCTAAGTGGCAGCCTGGTATGATATGATATCCACACACGCATCTTTGAGAAAACCCTCACCCTCTCGCAGTGAATATCCCAAGACGTTCTACAATATTTATTCCAGGGGCAGCCACTGATTTGATTAAGCACTTTGTGTAGATTACTAATTCGTTCATACACGGTTCACTTGCTGTGAGCTGGAAGTACGACACATCGAATTTTAAGCCGGTAACGAAGATTGAAAGGCAAGCCTGTGCTAACAAGGCCCATAAACACAGGAGGCGGGTGGGGGTCCACACATGGGCAACAGCAAAGCCAGCCTCTTCATTTCACATGTCCCTACAGTATACTACACACGCACACACACAAATCACTACACACAGTCACAAAAAAAGCACATACACAAGAATAAAAGGCAGATAAACACATTGAATTCTACACACTTCACACCTAAATGTGGAGACACATTTCACACACACACTTAAAAAAAATTAATCACACAACACAATCATCAACACCCGTAAAAAAACAAAAAGACTGACGTGCTCACACCACACCCACCATCACACCTACACATACCTACACCTAGAATCAGAACACCGCCTCACACCTATGCATGTGCATACAGGCACACACAAACATTAAATTCACAAGACATGATCACCCGCGGACAAACAGAAGGAGAGACAATCACTCTCTCCTCCTAACTCACACACACTCCAAACACACACAACCTAAAGTTGAGGTGAGAGAGAGGCGTGTGGGGAGCTGATTTGTCCAGATGGCTGGCTGAGTATGAGACATGGCAGAAAGGAGAGAGATGTAACGTCCCTCAGTTCTCACATCTTATCACATTAATACTCCACCACTCCACTTAAACAGCCTCCGTGAAACTGAAATTGACCATCAATGCAGTGTCATGTTAAATTAATATTGCCATCCACATAGGGGCGATGTGGCTCCCTCACATCCCAGATGAGACAGGGAATGACTAATTCATTTCCTGAGAGGAGAGAAGAACCTCATGCAACATTTCACAACACACACACACACACACACACACACACACACACACACACACACACACACACACACACACACACACACACACACACACACACACACACACACACACACAGAGTGATGTCTTAAGCCTTGCACATGCCACACACTCCTATCATAGCCTTGGCTTTAATCTTAAGGTTTGAGGAAGAGAATAATGCATGGTAATTTCATGTAAATAAATGTCTGCATTATTAGGTTTCTCTCCACAACCAGCTAATATACACTGTTAGCTCTTGAAAGTGTCTCACTTTTCAGCCACGGGTTGGCTGCAGGCCTACAAGCACTGTATAAGTTACCATAATCTGTCACACAAGGGTTGCAGATATTAGTCAAATTTTATTTTCATCGGTCACATTGTTTTCAAATATTGTATGCTACCAATAGATCCATTTTACATTACAGTGAGTGGATTAGAATGTGGTTAAGGTAGGGCCACAAGTCACACGCAATGGGGGAACTTTACTTGACTTACAGTTCCTAACAAAATAATTCATAATAAGCTTCATTTGGCATTATGCAACGTGGTAGTGTCATTCATTAGAGCCCCTGCCACCTGACTCACATCTTTCAAACTTCGCTTTCTATTAAAAATTCTCTAGCTCCAAGTCAAGATAAATCTGATAACATCAACAGGGTTATTTTTTTCCAAACTTCCTCTCCAGAGCCACAGAAGACATTACAGTCTGTAGATGTTTTCACAAGCTGACAGATATTCCTCATGATGAACAAACTAAACTTCATTGTAGAGAAAGGCTCATTCTGTCATTCATAGTGGCACACACCTGTTAGTAAATTATCAGTTGGGAATTCATGTATTGATGATTTGTGGGAGATGGGTGTCCTCGCTACCTGTGAGAATGTCACACTTATGGCCCATTAGTAGAACATTGGGATCTGTTTTTCTGCAGGACAATTTTAGGCACTTCTGCTTAAATGTGGATCAGTACTGTTAATGTGAAACCGAAGCCTCTCAAATGGCTAAAAAAACCAACCTAAAACAATGCCCCCTTCCCTCTGGTACACAAGAGAATCCCAACAGCTGTTAACCTTTCCAAAACAGAAGACAGGTTAGATATGAGCAGTAAATAGTGCTGGGATTTACCATTTTACAACATAAACAGCACAAATCAAAACGAAATATTTGGAAATAGGATTAAACCCATTAAGTCCCATAGTGTATATATGATAGATTACACTAATTTACTAAAAAGGGCATTATCTAAAAGCGGCAAGCATCACAAAGTGATTTACTGTACAGCAATATGATTGTCGTTATCCGGCTAAATGTACAGTAAGAGTTTTTCAACGATAAAGCCTTTCAGTCCCGGGGTCCAGCTCCTGGATCTTTCATTTACAGTTTCTAATGTTTTTCCATTCTCGGTCTGAAATATCCTTGTTACGGTGCTGGAGGAGGTCAACTTAAGAATAACATTCCTGGGAAGGCCTTGTTTGCCATCCAACCCGGTCCAATTCACCTTCTGGCCACAATCATCATAAACATCCTTGCTGCATAATCATCCGTGCGCTGGCGGCCACGTCTGTGTTTCGTAATTTTGAAAATTGTGTCTTCTACCACTGGATCCACGATCTGCAGAACAATGGTCGGTAGGACCTTAGTTGCTGATGGTGTTAGTACCGCCAGTATAGAGGTATGATGTGATGTCCTGTTTGGCGATGATGGCGAGAGTGAGGTGAAATTTGTGGCTCCACACACCTCGAGGAGGAGCTGCAAGCCAGTGTCCGTGGGGGGCTAGGAGAGGGCAAAAGGCTCAGCGGGGAAAACTGCCCTTGTTCACATTTCTGGGCTCCACCGTTGCTACTGGGGTTTACTCTGTCTGCCATCCTCTGGAGAGGCTGTTGGAAAGAATCGTTATCCTCACGAAGTTTGGCAAGCTCCCGCCCCAGCTCCCCGACAGTTCTCCTGAGAGACGAGTTGTCCTCCAGTGCCTTCTTGTGGTCCTGTGCCAGCTCATCCAAAGACTTCTGAAGCCTGGAGACTTCACTCTGCACACACTGTTTCACCAGTCCCTCCACTTCCTGCACGGTGAGCACTGCAGCAGGAGGCGCTGGCATGGAAAAACGGCAATTAAACCTAGAGCTGTAAATACTTCAGTTTTGTCCCAGGCTATTTTCTATTTCCACCTTTAGTCAGCTTTCACCTTTTAACGCTTTTTTTTAAATTTGGTCCTTCGACAGGTTTTTCGTCGTCAATATTCCATGCACTGATTAGTTTTGATGGTGAGCAGTGGTTAGTATAGAAATCATGCGTATAAGTCAATATCTCATCCTTCATCCTTAAAAAAAACATTTGGGCATTATATCTACATTTTGTATGTACTATTTTTGTCTACCCCAAAATGTACTTGGACTCGCCAACAAATGGGAAAACAAAAAATTAAATATGTGGATTATGTGGAAGTTCCATCCACTTTGAATTTGATGCAAGGCACTGCTTGAAGTTTTAGTGGAGAATTTAATGTTTCATGATGCTTTTAAACATAAAATCATGGGAGAAAACACAAAATAATGTTACGGATTTAAGGATCTTAGAAATGTATTTATCTAAAACCCTTATGTTTCCAAATTCTACATTTTGAAAATTAAAAAAATCCAGACACCGGCAGGCCAGTGGGGTGCTTGCAGTTTCACTTTTATGTTATTTCTACAAACACACATCACATCCTGCATGCGAACGTGCACGCATGGCATGTGTGTCCATTACTTTAAGGCTCAGTCTGAGGTCAGACAGCTCACTCCAGTGAAAAAGTGACCAATTTACCTCAAAATGCAAATTCCAGCTGTACCCTCATTGGCAAAATGCAAGCATGTGTATGTGTTTCCTTTAAGGGACAAATTGACAAATCTGTGTGCAGCCTCCCACTACCGTCTCCTGATTTCACTGATTAATCAAGTGAATAAAAACTAGGTCTTAATTAAAAGGATCTGGACGTGCTCCCAGCCCAGAAAACTGGCAGACCCCCACCGTGCAGCTCCACAGCCCCACAAACAAACTCCCAGAATAAATGACCACCACATAAAAGGTGAATAATTCACTGTAATGAGGGAACTTAGCAATAATAACAACTGGCATATGTTGTCAAAATGAAGAGAAATAGGGGCTTTCCACAAATAAGAACAGCATAAATGAAAGTGGAGAAGTAATCTCAATAAACAAGAACATAATTCAGTTGAATAAAAAGAGGTAAACCTAAAAAACAAAGTATTCATCATTTGAAACCTCAGAATGTGCCCTTGACTTGAAGCCATCTGTTGGGACCTCAGTGTCACAGCTTTCATTTTCTTAAGTAACACTAAGTAAGTGACCTCAAAACTCAAGAATTATGACACAGGGTAGAATTATGAATACATATAGACTAATCGTTAATAAGAAGAAAGTGGTGGCTGAACATTAATCATCAAGATTTTAACCTCCAATTCTTACAGCTTTAAGCAATCCGATTTTAGCAGTCAGCAATCTGACTTTGGCCACACAAGGTGACTGGCATACATACTTGATATAAGGACGAAAAATGTTTTCTTTGAGTGAAACTATTATTCCTCTGCCCCAGCAAAAACATTGCCTACCCCTCATATACAACTGAAGCAACAGCATATCAGGACATTTTCCTGCAACACATTTCAGCCTATTTATGGGCATATGATGACATAACGGAGTGAAATCAGCACAATGTTTTAAGTACTTTGCCAGTATTTAGTGAGGACGCCAAGGGAATATTACCTCTGGGTTTTCAAACAAGCGCTACAAGACAAAGCTACAATACCTACACAAACCATCCACTGTCACTAAGTCTGAAAGTGGAAACAAACCTATTTTATCTCCCATTCAACAGACACGTCATACACACACAAAGCACAGAGCACAGACTTCAATTAAAGTCCCATTAAAGTTTGGGCTGAAATGGGGGTGAACCAAAGGAGGCAGAGAAGGGCATTTATTGATGGCGCCCTCACATCTCGTTCCCGCATTAAGTTGATTTTAAAAGCAATTAATACACATGGTCAGGGAAAAGTAATGGAGCGCCCTATGTTCTTAACCTGCCGGACATTTCCCAGCCGAAGCCCTGGTCGACGCAGCCCTGCTTTGCATTATAAATGACAAGATAAATCTTAATGGATTGAGCATAATCAGCTAGCCATGAAGGCTGACATATACACACATTCACTAGGCATACGAGTGCTCACACATATACACCAACATGGACGTACAGACACAAGGGAAATTAAAGGCTTTGAATACGTCTGCATTGATTATTTTAAATTATTAGCCCACCTCTCTTTGGACCTCCAATGCTTTTAGCCTAAGCTTTAACACATTTACAGAGACTTATTGACTATAATTACAACTGAGTCTTGGTAATGGACACATCAATTATGAGTCGCACATGTCTCTGACCAAGCGTTGTTCAGGGAATCCCAATCTGGGGTCCATTAGCGTCTCTCCTGCTGGTCTGAAGCTCAATCAGTCTTTACCTTCAACTCTACTGAATCAGCTATTACCTGGCTGCAGCAGATAGTAGCCTTAACATTAGCTTGAGCTGCCAAAGAAGAGGCTGCGTCTTCCCACTCAATATAGTTGTACCTAAAAACAAAGGCCTAATAGCTGAGCAGTTGCACAAAGAGATTCCATTTTAAGATTTTCTAGTAAAACTCGATGTGTTCAAGTGCTCATAAGGCATTAATAGGCCATGTAAGAACCACAAATTCAATCTGTATTAGTGGAAATCTCCAGTCTAGTCCAAGTGAGTTTATAAATTACATCACAATAAATATATAAGTATGTGTTACCAAGTGATTAATTCAAATATTAGAGATATTTGCAAGTATGGAGCATTATAAACACCTTTCTAATACTGTGTTGTCCTGTAGTGTTTTAACAAACTCTTACTTTATCCAACAGTGTACATAAAATGAGGCATAATAGTGTTGACCTTCTTTTACACAGCATACATAATGCACTGGTGAATATGTATTGTATATGTGTGTGAGACAAAGAGAGTAGCAGAAAGAGGAAGAGTGTGTGAGTAAATAGAAGCAGGATACATACCGGTGTGTGTGCGAATGTGTGCCAGGAAGGCCATGGAGTTGCTGCTCTTGCACACCTTGCCACAATATTTACACACACTGCCTTGGTTCTCCTCGCGCTCGCGGTTGATCTGCTCCGTGTCCTCCAAAACGTACTTGTTGACCTCCCTCAGAAGCTCCTCGTGTTTCTCCTTGATGTGAAAAAACAGATCCTGCTCCGATTCGAAGCGGTCTGTGCACTTCACACACTTGAAGCTAGCGCCTCCTTCCGGCAGCTCCTCCACGCTGTTCTGCTCGTTGCGGAGGTGGGCGGCGCTGGTCAGGTGCTGGTGCAAGTTGCTCTCGGTGTAGAATGACTTGCCGCACACCAAGCAGTGGAAATGCTTCTCCTTTGACGGATGCTTCATTGAAATGTGGACGTTGAGGCCACTGATGCCGTCGGCCATAAAGCCACAGTCCTCGCAGCGTATGCGTGGGCTACTTCCTTTGGCTTCCTCTCTCACCTTCACTTCCTTGCGTTTGAGCTTCTTGACATATGCAGAATTGGAGGGCAGGAAGCCAGAGGGCACCGGGGTTCCTCCAGTCAGACATATCACAGCAGACTCGCCTTCTAGAGCCAGACCTTCCTGCAGCACCTGCTCCTGCTCAGCGAGGGCCTTCATGGATACAATACAGGCATCAAAAGGAGGGGCTTTGGACATTTGTGTATCGGAATGAGAGCTGTCACTCTTTTCATCTGAAGTCATCTCATCTGCATTTAAGTGCTCAGCATCTGTTTGATTAGCCCCTTCCTCCTGGCTCTCTTGCTGTGCGGACTGATCCTCTGCAGGTTGAGGTTCTGCTGGAGCTTGCTGGGGTTCAGACATCGCTGTAAGTTCAATTGTCTGGTCGGTTGGATCTGGTTCACCACCACTGGAAGAAGTAATAATCTCTTCTTGCTTCTCATCAGTACTGCCAGTCACACTAGCGACAACATCGACAGGTTCTGTGGTGACAGAGGATGCAGCTGCGTCCTGACTTTCCATTGCTTGGCTGTCATCAGAACAAGATTCAGGCTCTTCAGTGGGTCTAGGAGGCTCACCTTCAGGATTAGAGTTCGTCTCCACAAGCTCAATGACCTCCTTCAGCTTCAGTGGGACTGGCAAAGCTCTTTGCCCATCACTCCCCAATGGTTCCAGGTATTTCTGGCTTTTCTGTTTGTGCTTTTCTGTGTTGGAATGGCGAGACATTTCCCTGCTTGTTACGGCATAGTAGCTACATGCTAAGCAGACATACTCAAAGTTTTTGGTGTGCTTTCTCTTGACGTGAAGATGGAGCGAAGGGATTGATTGAGCTACAAAATCGCAATGGCTGCAAGCATTAACAGAGTCATATTTACTTTTTTTCTGGCTTGTGTCTGACTGAGTTTGCTCTTCTCCACTTTGTTCTTTGGATGCCGTGTTGTCAGGTTCCTGCTCATTGTCGGTCATCTGTGAGGCTGCATTTGGTTCCTGGGCTTGTGTAGTTGTGGGTTCTTGTGGTGATGCACTATTGTGATTGTTGTCAGGGTTCTTATTTGCACACTCTTGTGCACGTCTAACATGCTTTTTCGTGATACAGTGACGATCCATGTCTCCTTTGGTCACACAGCTGTAGTTGCACAGAGTGCAGCTGTAGCCGTACTCCTTGCTGTGTTTGCGGCGGACATGGACACTAAGGTTCGTAGCATTGGACACTACCAGGCCACAGTATCCACAAGTAGTCGTGGAACCTTGCTTTGGTCTTCCTTTTTTCTTTCTGGGAGGTTCAAGCTCCAAATCTTCTTTCTCAACAGACACAGCTTTGGCAGCCTCCGACGCCTCTTCAGTTTCCTGATCTTCTTCTGTCAAAGTAGCTACCCCTTCTCCATCAGCCAGCAGAGTCATATCATCTATAATGGCCCCATCTCCAGCTCTGTCTCTGTACATACTCTCAACGTAGACTTCAAATGAGGAAGATTCTGGGGTTTTCTCGCCTTTCTCCTGCTGCATGTGCCTATCTGAAGACAGGTGAGCCTGCATCCACTCAGATGTGGCCGAAAAAAAGTTGCACAATTTGCAGTGGTACCACTCCTGGTCCAGGTGTTTGTCTCGAGCATGGGTCTCCAGCATTGCAGGGGTGCTAACCTTAAAATCACAGAGTCTACACTTCAGCTGGAACCTTTTGAGTGTACGTTTGGTCGCCACTCGTGTTGGAGTAGCTTTCACAGTGCTGCCAGGGTCCTCAACTACCTCTTCTTTATCCACGTTCTCATCAGCTTCAACTGAAAGACATTTCAAAGATACACTTTAAATCTCTTTTCAGCCGTCAACTAAAACAACTCTGTGTGCAGTTATAGCTTTGAATAATAAATGCAGAAATAGTGAAAAAAAACATTTATATTATATGAAGTGACAATTGGCCCCAAAACAGAATTTTGATATAATTAACATGTAATGCTTAAGACTTCAAATCTTTCAGTATTATGATGAAACATTCCTGCTTCAAATTGACTGAACTATCTAATATGTTTAGAATAACGTGAACTCGGTGTTAGGCTGGGTTGCAACATTGACCAAACTGGGGAAAAGCATATACTCACATGTGTATGGGGTGTCTTTGGTGTGGTATCTCTGGATATGCACATCTAGAGGGACCTTGTCCCTAAACTCTTGCCCACAGTAGTTGCAGGAATATATCATCTTAGGTTTTGGGGTTCGCTTGCTCACTCTTCTCTCTTGGGTACAGACTGCTTCCTCTTGATCGGCCTGCTGTTTGTCTAATACGGTTTCCTTTTTAGTTAAACGCTTTGTGTTTGTGCCATTGTCACTGGCTGCTGATCTCAGCTCATCAAGATCAGACTCGTTTTGCTTAACTTCAGCAGAACTTTCGGTCTCCATGTCTACTTCCTGCTGGATTTCAGCTGAACTCACGTCAGAGATGTTATCGCTCTTCTCCGCTGGCTTTGCAGTTCTATTGGTATCCTTAGATTTATTCCCATGCTTTCTTGCATAGTGAATCTTCAGTGATCTTGGACATTTGGCCGAGAAGCCACAAGCTGTGCAGATGTTATCTCCATCTTCAGGTACGGAGTCTGGCCGCAGCCCCTCACTGATTTCCTCATCAGGCTTGGCAGTCTTACTGGGTGAGTCTCTTTTAGTTTCCTCCATTTCCACATCATCTGGCTGCACCTTCCCACTGGTGTCATTTTCAGACACGTTGTCCTCAACAGCCTCCTTTCCTGATATCAAGGCTTTATCCATATCATATCCTGCTATAATTACATAACAGTGAAGCTGATCTCTGTCATCAAAGGTGAATCAAACTCCTGGGGGAAAAAGAACACAAGAAACTTGACATCTTCAATTGTCTGAAACACAATTCACAGAATGAAAGAAGCATCTGTATACAAGTTAAGTGCCTTAGCCACAAACTGTGTAACTAACCACAAGTGTCTGAAAAGTGATCAAGCCTTCAACAACGGTATCTGGCTCATCATAAGTAAATGTCGCCATCTAGTGCTTCCAGATACAAACTGTCAGGTAAAAACATGCCAGCATGAGAGTTGGCTGTTGCTGCTTATTAAATTAGAAAAAACAAGTCCACTTAAGTCACAGACATTTAATGAAGTATGCATATGTCATTGCTGGTTTAAGAATCATTACTAAATGCTGGTAAACATGATTCAGTAGATTTACAGCCATTGTGACAGTTAAATTAGTAATAGTATATTAGGTATAGCTTAACATTTGATTATGAATAACCATATTTCTAATGTGTCTTTTTTGGGGGGGCAATTATGAACTGTTATTTTACAGTGTAGGAGACAGCTGCAATAAGTGTTTCTATATTTGCTTGTATTCTCCGTGCAGCGTGTGTCTTTTTGCTGCACATGTGCACACAGGCTGATGAATGGGTTTCTTAACTTGCTTGTTTTACTTATTGGCATCTTTCTCAAACACCATATAATACATTGTTTGTATAGGGGACACCTTGAGCAACTAATATCATGATTATCATAATTCCTATTGTTACCATCATCACCATTGTCATCATTATTAATATTATGTACCTTATATATAAATGCCATCCAGTGTTATTGGTGAGGATTTAGTGAAAACAATGATGTCTTTTCTCTAAATTGGCCTGTGTGGTGGTTGAGGCCAAATCCTTTCACTCAATCCTTACCAATAACACTGTTTGTTCTCGCAAATGTAAATATAGTAGCCATCCATAAAAAGTGATCTGCGTGGTTCAGAGGGTTCCGTTAAGGTCAACCAATGAGCACTGTTTTTCGAGGAAGTCCAACTTTGAGAATGAGCTCATTGTGCTCACTACCGCCACCCACTGTGTATTTTGGCAGGATACGACCGACTACACGATTAGCAGAAGGGACACCATATCAAGTTGGAGTCAGTGATGTGTTTATTTGGTCGCCAACAATAAGTCGACGATGGGCCGAGATGGAGAGTGACTTATACGTGCATTATGAAGGGTCTTAACTCGTGTCCATCTTGTTTCTCGGTGTTTAATGCGAGCAGAAGACAACGGTGTCGCTTGAGACCACAGTAATAGATGGACCACAAGTGCAGTGTCTGCTCCTGGTTACAACTCCGTCGTCATTTAACACTACGAACGCCATTTACCTACAATGTCGACTTGCTAACTTTATTTGGGAGAATTTCCAGCGGTTTTTGCTACCAATTGTCTTAATACTAGCTTTAAAGTAATATTAGGATAGCCGAACAGGTTTCAGACTGCACGTTAGGAACTGCAGCGTCAACGCTGAACAACCAGCGTTGCGGTGTAAAATGCTGCGTGAAATCTCTTCCCGTGGCGTACACGGCTGTTGCACGAGGACACAAATCCGGTGAAGTTGTTGTGGAGACCGTCACCGTCGCCGTCTACCGCGGCTAACATGCTAACAAGCGACATGTTTCCCCAACTGTATTTTGAGATGCGCACAGTGCCGCCAATTAAATTGCTGCATATGCTGTGCAGTCCAATCACAGCGGGACTAAGGCGGGTCTACGTCGCTCCATGGCTTGGAAAACGACGGCAGCACAGAGGCCCAAAAAGGAGGCTAACATCGACCTCTGAAACAGTGGTCTATACTACCGAAACAGTCCTTAAAAACACCCCTGAGAGTTGTCTATCGTTTCAGTAACACCAATTCGAGCAATGATTAGACAATACAGTGTAACCACAATTAAGCTTACCTCTTCTTATACGACTATTTCCACTGTCCGCGCTTTTTGCTGCTAGACACAAATGGCGTACCGTAGCGTGAGCCATGCGTCACACGAGGAGGTGGCCTGCTCGCGGCTTCTCTTTTTTTCTACATCAGCTGATTTGTCACATGATGCGTTCCCGCTCCGTGGGAAAAACGAATTAACCACACATACATTAAAGGCAACACATTGAGATTGGTGACATTTAAAGACTCGTTGGAGAATGCCAAGACGCCACGGGTTCAAAATGTAAAGCTCTCATTGCTGCAGTACTGTTGTGACATAGTTTGTGTGGAAGTGATGCGTTTATTGTCATGTTTTACAGCAAAGTGTATGAGCAGCCAGGCATCATGCATAGATATGAAATTGAATTTGTACTTACTTTAAATAAATACACTGCTCTTGAATTTGAGTATTTCTATTATGTAATAAAAAGGTTTTGCTTTTTGAGTAACCTGGCTTGAAGCTGAGGTGTGAGGAATACCATCTACAAGCAGGGACACTGAGAGTCAGTCAGAGTGGGGGGTGCTGAGAGACACTCATTCTATATAATGGCATCATACTAAATGCTAAATTCATTTTGGTGGCTCATTTATTTTTATTTTATTTATTTATTTATTTATTTATTATTAAGAACATTAATTTGAACTTTTTTTGTAGATTAAACATAAAAAGCAAAGTAAAACCTCTTTCCTGCAAGTCATTACAAGTTTGAACATATTTATGAACTAATGCTTTTCATTATGCCAGATTTTAAGAGGTACTGTAGCGCCCTCAGCACCCCAGGGCCCATGTCTGAAAAGTAAAGACTAAGCTATAGCATTTCCAGTTAGGATGAAAATCTTAAGGTGAATGCATATCAGAGTAGCCTAACATATACTAGTGTCCATGTGAGTGTGTTGTGCTTTTGTTTAGCATTTGAAAAATATCTGTCTGATGATAAAAGCCAACTGTTGTATGCCTGTGACTCGGAGGTAGAGTTGATCGTCCACTAATCAGAAGGATGGCGGTTTTATACCCGGCTCCTCTCGCTCAAGTGTCATTGAGCAAGATACTGAATATCTAATTACTCCTGATGCTGCACATCGGTGTATGAAGATTCCTTCAATGGCAGCCACAGCCCTCAGTGGAGGGGTGAGTAGTGTACATTGCTTTCAGTAAGTGCAGTCCACAGTTTTACTATTGAAATAAAGATTTCTCTAGCACATTATCTTTACAAATGTTGCCATATTGTGAAGAAAATATTTCTTGTAGTCTATTGTTGGAAAGTAAGAACATTTAAATCACTAAATATTGTGCTGTAGTCTTTATAATGTGAATGTAAATGTTCATATTTCCTTTATTTATTTGACTTTTCTGAACTGTCATTAAATGTTATGGGAATAAAACACATTTGTTTTAATTATTGTATTTATTTAATGGAGGTTCAGCATGTGGTCTGTACAGAGACTGTGTATTTTTTCTCAAAGCCTGTGATGAATCACCACTTCCATTTGACATCCAGTGTTAGCTTTATGGAAAGACTGAAGATGGATTAATGCATGGGCATTAATTGATTAAGTAGTCTGACAGGTCAGGAGGTGATAAATGATACCTCCTGCTATGAATACACAGTTTACTTTGCAATAATTTTCTTTAATTCATCACAGTCAAAATTATGTGACATGGATGGTTGGAAACACATACCCCCCTCCTCCCCCATCTCCCATTTTTCATTAGGATTCATCATTCATTTTTCTCCATTAGTTGTCTATTAAAAGAGGGGAGGGTGGCTTTGGTGGACACTGCCTCAGTCACCTCTCTTTATAGCTGTTTCGCTCTCTTTAAAGTTTTGCTGATTTTTTTTGCTATAAAATAATAATTTGGGGGAAAAGGGGGGAAAAAATTACATATCTAGAAAAATTACTGGATGTAAATACATATTCATCCACGTTCTCTAATAGTGCCATCTTTTTTCTCTGAAGTAGACTTAAATTATAGGCTCGCTCAAATAAGATCCTTTAACTTCCCAGCATCAATACACAGTTAAAAGCCACATGCTCATTTACATTTTATAAAAGGGCTCATTTTCTGGAACAAAATATGAAAATAGTGTAATAGGCAAAGTAAATTTCCTTAATATGTTGCATTTTCACATTTTATGTACATAAAGCAGCTTTAAGCAGTGGTGTAAGAAGTAGTCAGAAGCTTAAGTAAGAAATTCCACGATCTAAAAATAATCCATTAGAGGTAAAAGTCCTGAATTCAAAATGGTACTTAAGTAAAAGTACAGAAATATTATCAGCAATGTGTACTTAAAGTGTCCAAAGTAAAAGTACTCATTAGGGAGAATGGCTTCGTTCACAGTATATGATTCTGTTTTTATTACTAACAAACAAACGTGAGAGCATTGTAATGTAGTTCAGGCAATGAAATTAGAATAGAATATCTCTAATTATTAATAGCCTACATTAAAAGGCAAGAAAAAAAGTTCACGGGAAACAAAAAGGAAGTGCAAATTAAAGGAGAGACAGAAAATGAGAGAGAGAGAGAGAGAGAGAGAGAGAGAGAGAGAGAGAGAGAGAGAGCAGCTGGAGGTGATGTTGTTTAAGGTTTGCAATAGTTGCAGTAGTAATTTTACAGTTTATTGAGCGTTAAGTTAAATTCCTGTCCACTATTTGTCCACCTAGCATAGGCAGATAGGCCTGTTGTGATTATTAACATCCTAATAATTACATTGTTTTTCTAATTAACAATTTCAAGTCATACATAGGCCTATATCTAATGCATGTTTCCTTTCCCACTACAATCTCCTTTGTGGCTCTTGCAAATCATATCTACACTGTGTCTTAAATAGCATGACCTCAGTAAATCCAGTAGGATATATAGCTTAATCCAGTAGGTCCCAAACTTTTTCTTGTCAGGACCCTAACAATTAGAACACGTAAGCCCAATTTGTGAGGATTTTGTCTTTAAGGACCAGTGTGTTGGATTTAGTGGCATCTAGCATTAAAGTTGCAGATTGCAAGCATCTGAATACATCAAAGCCTTCAAAGCCTGTAGCAGAAATTACGGTGGCTGCAAAACTTGCAAAAACCATAAATGGCCCTGTCTAGAGCCAGTGTATGGTTTATCTATTCTGGGCTACTCTAGAAACACGGGTGGTCAACATGGCGACTCCCTCTGTAGATAAAAACGGCTCATTCTAATGAACACAATGATTATTATTTCCAGGTGATTATACACAGCATACCTCTGAATATTATATTCTATTTCTGCCAATAGATTCTCCGAAATGTTACACACCGGATGTTTAAGGAATACAGTATTCCCCACCAGAGGGAGCAATCTGCACATTTATCACACTTTGGCAAACTTCAGCCACAGCTGCATAGTGTGTGTATGCAGTACCATGGCAACCGCCTGAGACACATCTCACAAAAAACTGTTTGCTGAAAGACAAGAGTCTTGCCAGAAAGTGATAATGCTCTAATAGTGTTTGAAGGAATGGAAGTAAAGGAAGAAAGATAAAACTCTTACAGACACAATTACAGCACAGTACCAAGAAAGGGTCTCTTCTCTTGATTTACTGACAAAGACAAAATGTGTGCCTTTAAATAGACTTCTTTTTACAGTCAGGTTTGCAGAAACAGCCTATTTTTGTTTTACATCTTATAGTTTTTACTATCAAATAAATACCTAGTCTTTGTCATGTATTATGTATTGAAAATACACACAGAACAAGCTGTGCATGCATATAAATGTAGGCAATGCAATCTGCTAACTACTGTTTCACTCATTCATAACACACAAGCTGCTTATGTACTTCTAAAAGGGTAAATTAAATTGTTCCACTTGCTAACACGAAATTAACTTTCACCATTATCATAACCAAAAGGAATGGTGAGAACCATGACAACAGAATTTTGATCCACATAATTTATCTCCAGGTAAACTTTCTAGCTAATAGTTTGCAACAACTAAGTACCCAGCTGTGGCTCCCGTACTGATTTGACAGCATGAATCAACATCTGCAACATCTTAACATTGGTGCTAACTACATGGAGTTTGTGTGTCACAATATGCAGTGATGTGCGGTACATAGTTGTTTGTTATCTTGCAAGACTGCTTGACCAAGACATCTTGTGGTCTCTTCTTGTGGGTCACTGGGTATTAGTTTAAGAGCTTTGTTTTTAGAGGGATCACTGGGTTATGTGTCCAAGTGCTGTCTAATCTGTTAATTAAAATAAACATTCCCAATGAGTAACATGGTCACATGTTGTTGTAAAGCCTCTTCCAAGGTACTTCTTTTCACCTTATAGCTGAAAGTTTCACCAGGACAACATGTGACGGGACCACTCACTTGGTTAATGTTGCATTGTATATTTTAGCTGGGAAATAAACCCGGGTCTCTGCACTTACGGTCAAGTGTTTGATACGTTAAACATTTTAAATGGGAGGTTGTAGGTATGAAAATAATAACTGGTTGCTGGGGAAATCCAGCCACTACATGCTCACTGCAGCATATAGCCTTATGACTCCTACCTACCGCCTGCCTATAACTCTGCACATGCAGCCCCCCACCCCATCCTCCCCTTTACGCTGTAATGCATTATGAGGATATTTCCTCCTCCCAGAAAACCTTTTTTCTCTCTCTCTCTCTCTCTCTCTCTCTCTCTCTCTCTCTCTCTTTCTCTCTGTAATGTGTACTCACACTAGGGTTTTCCTTCATTATCGCAGCAGCATCTGTCTAAGAGCATGAGGTCACAGCAGCCCCAAAATGCATCACCTCACTGTGTAAACACACAGCTATGTTTAAAAGGTGACTCTCAGAATGGGGTGCAGTGATGTTTGGGTTTAGTTTGAAGGTTTTTTGCCTTTATTTAGTTTAAAAGAGAATGTTTTTTTTTTTAAATGTAGACGATATCAATGACCCACAGCCCAAAATTCTAAAGGCTTTCAGGGAACACAGCTGATGCTAATAATAATAATGTAAAATTAAAGAGTTTTTTAGCTTGTGTTCCGTATAGCTCCAATTTACTGTACTGCACTGTACTGTAGTAAACCTGCATCCCAGATGGATGCCAT